CGTTATAATGTGACGGTCAATCCCACTATTCGTTGGTAAAAGAGTAGCCCAAGAGTTGGTGGTGGGTGGTGATGACTAGCTGCCTTCCCTCTAGTCTTACACTGCTAAATTGGGGACGACTAGCGCAGATAGCCTCGTGTAGCTTTACGCGATATTCAAAAACAAACAAACAAACAAACCGTATTGTAAGGAATAGGGTACTCCACATTGTAAGGAATAGGGTACTCTTTTTATTGCAAGGAATAGGGTACTACATATTGTAAAGAATATGGTACTCCATATTGTATAGAATAGGGTACTCCACACTGTAAGGAATAAGGTACTCCATATTGTAAGCAATATGGTACTCTATTTTGTAATTGATAGGGTACTCCGTATTGTAAGGAATTGGGTACTAAATATTGTAAGGAATAGGGTACTCCATACTGTAAATAATAGGGTCTGCCATATTGCAAAGAATAGGGTACTCTACATTGTAAGGAATAGGGTACTCCAGATTGTAAAGAATAGCGTACTCCATATTGTAAATAATATGGAACTCCGTATTGTAAGGAATAGGGTACTAAATATTGTAAGAAATATGGTACTCCATATTGTAAGGAATAGGGTACTCCATATTGTAAAGAATAGGGTACTTCGTACTGTAAGGAATAGGATACTCCATATTGTAAAGAATAGGGTACTCCGTATTGTAAGGAATAGGGTACTCAATATTGTAAAGAATAGGGTACTCCATATTATAAGGAATAGGGTACTCCATATTGTAAAAAATAGGGTTCTCCATATTGTAAGGAATAGAGTGCTCCATATTGTAAAGAATAGGGTCCTCCATATTGTAAGAATAGAGTGCTCCATATTGTAAAGAATAGGGTCCTCCATATTGTAAAGAATAGGGTACTCCGTATTGTAAGGAATAGGATACTCCATATTGTACGGAATAGGGTCCTCCATATTGTAAAGAATATGGTACTCCGTATTGTAAGGAATGGGGTACTAAATATTGTAAGAAATAGGGTACTCCATATTGTAAGGAATAGGGTACCCTCGTATTGTAAGGAATAGGGTACTCCATATTGTACGGAATAGGGTCCTCCATATTGTAAAGAATATGGTACTCCGTATTGTAAGGAATAGGGTACTCCGTATTGTAAGGAATAGGGTACTAAATATTGTAAGGAATAGGGTACTCCATATTGTAAGGAATAGGATATTCCATATTCTAAATAATAGGGTCCTCCATATTGTAAAAAATAGGGTACTCGTATTTTAAGGAATAGGGTACTCCATATTCTAAGTAATAGGGTACTCCATATTGTAAGGAATAGGGTACTCTATATTGTAAGGAATAGGTACTCCATATTGTAAGGTATATGGAAAACAAAAATCTTTTTTCGGAATTACCCTGGAAAATTAATTCCAGGAATTCAGATTATAGATTTAGTATTTCAATAAATCGATATGTCTAATTTCTCTATCAAAACTGACTTTAGAATGTTTAGTCTAAAAATAATCAACGGGTGGAGGAATAGGGTACTAAATATTGTAAAGAATAGGGCACTCCATATTGTAAGGAATAGGATACTAAATATTGTAAGGAATAGGGTACTCCGTATTGTAAAGAATAAGGTACTCCATATTGTAAATAATAGGGTACTCCGTATTGTAAGGAATAGGGTAGTACAAATTGTAAAGAATAGGGTACTCCATATTGTAAAGAATATGGTACTCCGTATTGTAAGGAATAGGGTCCTCCATTTTGTAAGCAATATGGTTCTCCATATTGTTAATAATAGGGTACTCGGTATTGTAAGGAATAGTGTACTCTATATTGTAAGGAATAGGTACTCCATATTGTAAGGTATATGGAAAACAAAAATCTTCTCTCGGTCTTACCCTGGGCAATTAATTCCAGGAATTCAGGTTATAGATTTTGTATTTCAATAAATCTATATGTCTAATTTCTCTATCAAAACTGACTTTAGAATGTTTAGTCTAAAAATAGTCAACTGGTGGAGGATGGGTGTTTAAAAATGTAAAAATTAAGGGTAGTATATACTAACAAAAATTTCTTCTGAGATGCCAAGTCTAACGTCAGCTTAATGGTTCCAAGAGATGACTGACTGCCATACACAACAGCCAGCTGTGACAATGAATGGTAGTAGGTTGTGAGAGATTGTAAGTTGTAGCACCAAAACCTAGCCCCTATTCGATTTTCCTTGCTAGATGTCTTTTTAATCTGCACATAATACAAAAATGTTAAGAATATTCCGTCTATCTAACATAATACGAAAATTAGATAGACGGAATATTCTTAACATTTTTGTATTATGTCTGGTAGGCAGGATATCCTCAACGTTTTTGTATTATTTCTGATAGGCAGGATATCCTCAACGTTTTTGTGTTATGACTGATAGGCAGGATGACCTCAACGATTTCGTATTATATCTGATATGCAGGATATCCTCAACGTTTTTGTATTATGTCTGATAGACAGGATATCCTCAACGTTTTTGTATTATGTCTAATAGACAGGATATCCTCAACGTTTTTGTATTATGCCTGATAGACAGGATAACCTCAACGTTTTTGTATTATGTCTGATAGGCAGGATATCCTCAACGTTTTTGTATTATGTCTGATAGGCATGATAACCTCAACGTTTTCGTATTATATCTGATAGGCATGATAACCTCAACGTTTTCGTATTATATCTGATATGCAGGATATCCTCAACGTTTTTGTATTATGTCTGATAGGCAGGATAACCTCAACGTTTTTGTATTATGCCTGATAGACAGGATATCCTCAACGTTTTTGTTGTGAATGTCGCAGACTTTTTGTACTTTCCCAACAAATGGTATGATGTCCAATAATTTTGTTTTGTAAATTTGTTACTGGCGCAATACTGGATTCATTTAATTTGGTAAGTTTTATTTGTTCTTGTTTTTGCTAAACTTTATAATTCTGAATTGTGCTGTGATGAGCATGTTGAGAATTTGTCTTCAGTTTCACTTACAACAAGTTTGATTGCTTTGTTATACCTTTTCGTCATGGCTATATAATGCTAGATATACGACAATATACTATGCAAGTAACGCATTTCGACTATTGTTTACCTATGTATACATATATATATATACCAACGTTTCCTAAGTTCTTAAAAATCTTCAAACCATTAGGCTGATTTTTATTTTCCTGCTGAACTTATAACCATTCTGAATTATCTAAAGCATGTTCGCCTTCATATTTTAGACTATGATAAAGTTAATCCTGTTGGTCTTCATATTTTAGACTATGCTAAAATTAATCCTGTTGGTCTTCATATTTTAGACTATGCTAAAATTAATCCTGTTGGTCTTCATATTCTAGACTATGCTAAAATTAATCCTGTTGGTCTTCATATTTTAGACTACGCTAGAGCTAATCCTGTTGGTCTTCATATTTTAGACTACGCTAAAGCTAATCCTGTTGTCTTCATATTTAAGACTATGCTAAAATTAATCCTGTTGGTCTTCATATTTTAGACTATGCTAAAATTAATCCTGTTGGTCTTCATATTTTAGACTATGCTAAAATTAATCCTGTTGGTCTTCATATTTTAGACTATGCTAAAATTAATCCTGTTGGTCTTCATATTTTA